TCCCTGCTTCGCACGGGAATTAAACATTACATTTAGATTAGTCAATTTTAACACATTCATAATAATAATAATAATATGACACATATTCATCCTTTTTTTTTCAATTATTGAGTTCATTACATTTATTTAGTTAGTGCTTCTCTGTAAACAATATTTGATGTTGTTTTATTTTGTGGCAGCAAAATAAATTGATTTTCAGGGGCTCCGACTCGCGATAGACCAACATACAGTTGACCATGAGTAAAACATTTATTTCGCAGATCGATCCCTACTAATTCGAAGGTTTGGCCTTGGGACTTGTTAATTGTTAATGCGAAAGATGTTTTTACCGGAAATTGAAGCCGTTTAAATGGGATTGGCAGATCAGTTGGGATCATCGGTATCCTCGGTATATGAGCTAGTTGACCACTTGCTGGGCCAGTGATAATATTTGCTACTATTAAATTGTCCTTTAACTCCTTAATAAGCAGCCTCGTCCCATTACACATGCTCGGAGGGTTTAAATTTCTTAAAAGCATGATTGGGATTCCGATTTTTAACGTCAATTCATGGGGTGGCAGTCCAGAAGGGTTCAACGAATTTAAAAATTCCTGTGGATAATGGACTGCATCTTCAATATTCGTTACAGTGTCGATCGATTTGTATGTTTTTGTTTGGCCGGGGACTTTTTGAACAATCAGATTATTTATTTCATTGACAGTATCATTCTTAGGTGATACTATAGCCCGAGAACACAGCCAATGGAAGTCTCTTTCGTGCAAATTCTCGATATCAGGGTATACAGAATCTATTAAATTTTCCATATTTTCCAAAAATCCAAATTTTTAGCAGTTGCTGTGGAAAATCGCTATCAGTGATTCCATGTAGATGAGCTCTCATATTTGTCCTTAATTTTAATGTTTCAAACGTAGTCCATATGGGAGACGATTTCAAACATGCCTTGATGATATCTGCTCGCGTGCCTCTGTTAATAACGGGGAGAGTCTGTTGAAAATCTCCAGCAAATACAAAAGTAATCCCGCCCATGACTGCAGAGGAGTTCCTTAGATCCTGTAAGGTTCTGTTCACGGCCTCTATATGTGCTCTATGGCTCATCGTGCATTCGTCCCACATAATCAATGAGGCGTCTTTTAGTAATTTACCAATAGGTCCATTTTTGTGTATTGAACATGTAGATTGTTGTTCATGATTGACGTATAGTGGAAGTTTAAAAGTAGTATGAGCAGTTTTGCCATCCTTCAAAAGAGTTGCTGCATTCATCACAGCATCCCGCAAATGGATATATTCCTCGGACCGAAGTTTCGTCTGATTCAATCTAAGAGGCCTGACAGTATATGCAGACCTGATGCATCCGGCCAATAACGACATTCGATTCGAGCTGTAATCAATAGTTGGATTATATCTGATCTTCTGCAAGCTGTAAACGCGCTTCAGCTACCCTTGCCCTGTCGCGTTCATTATTTTGAGAGTGAATCAAATCGATTGCTGCAGAACGCGACTGTCTAACTCTTAATCGTTTTCTCTCAAGCCTATCTGCTCGTCTTTCTGCTGATTCTTCCTTGTGCATCTGCATTGCTCTCAGCCGCTCAGTCTCTCGGATGGAGGCCCGTTCTTCGTCAGTTATATTCGTAATCTTACGTCTTTTTGCTTCTGTATTACGCTTACGACGACCCAAACTCTACTTCTTGGGTGGCAGGACTTCGTTTCTTACTGAACCTGAACAAAAAAATAAAATTTTTATCTCCAATTCCTTATTTCAATATGTTTTGAATGTTTGACAGGAAATGCTTTGGCTGCCTGTAGAGGGCGGTAGATGTAAGGTAGTTTTTTTTTTTTTTTTTTAACACCTTGGATTACGTTATCTTAATTTTAGTAAGGATGCCTTTTTTTTTTAAATGAAATATAGCCTATGACACTCAGGAATGATGTAGCTTTCCAACAGTGAAAGAATTTTTCAAATCTGCCAAGTACTTTCGGAGCCTATTCAATTCATACAAACAAACAAACAAACTTACATTACCTCTTTATATAATAGTATAGAAATATATCCTTAATTTGATTAAATTCTGTTGAAAACTGAAAACGGTATATTTTTTTTTTTGCAAAAAAACTTTCTATTATGATTATGGCAGCTATATGATATAGTCGTCCGACCTGACCCGTTCCGACATATATACGAGTGAGAGTATATTGAAGTTTAACTACAAAGTTTCATTCGGATAGCTTAATAACTGAGAGACGAGTTTGCGTAGAAACAGACAGACGGACATGGCTAGATCGACTCGGCTGTTGATGCTGATCATGTATATATATTTTATATGGTCGGAGGTGACTCCTTCACTGCGTTGCAAACTTATGACTGAAATCTGAATCTTGGGATCCAAAAACCGACTCTTCCTCAAGCTAGAAATTACCAGAATTACAAGAGCTCTAACCAAACGCACGTTGCTCTCGGAACTATCCGAGATGTACGACCCACTGGGTTTGCTTGCGCCCACAACTGTGATTCTAAAGATTCTCTTTAAAGATAGCTAGCTGAGATTTGTCGAATGGAATGAGGTATTAGTTCCCCAATTATGTACACGGTGGTAACAGTTCGTATTTCAAATGCATGTATGGGAAACTTATCGAAACTAATAATGGATATGCGGTCAAACTGATAACGCCAAATACTCGTGTTTCACCTATTAAGCCTATCTTCATTCCACGACTTGAGTGAAACGCAGCTCATTTACTATCGGTCCCTTTTCCCTGGTCAAGCAAGGACTAAATATTTATATTTCCAGAATAAATTGTTGGTCAGACTCTGAAATAGCCCTGAATTGGCTATCATCATGCCGATTATCAAAATTGGTAGCTTAAACCAGCTTGGCTATCACAGTCACGCACAGCTTGGCCACCTGTTAAGGGTAAGTTTGTTTTGTCAACTGAAGAAAAGGCATGTTTAGAGGAAAGGCCGAACCCAAGGTTAATCTTGGAAATGTCAGATTTTCATGAAATTTGACACAAAATTTAAAACTAATATAAAATGCCTATGCCTAAAATTTGATGAAAATCAGTTGAAAACTGAAAAGGTTATAAATTTAATTGTATTAATTTCTCGATCGTTCCTATGGGAGCTATATGATATAGTAGTCCGATTTTCATAAAATTTTATGCAAAATTGTAGAGTATAGTAAAATGGCTATATCTCAAATTTGATCCAATTCTATTGAAAACTGAAAAAGTTAAAAATTTTGTTGTACAAATTTTCCGATCATTCCTATGGCAGCTATTAATATAGTCGTCAGATCCGGCCCGTTCCGACATATATACGAGTGAGAGTATATAGAAGGCTAACTACAAAGTTTCATTCAGATAGCTTAAAAACTGAGAGACTAGTTTGCGTAGAAACCGACAGACGGACAGACGGACATGGCTAGATCAACTCGGCTGTTGATCCTGATCAAGAATATATATACTTTATATAGTCGGAGGTGCCTCCTTCACTGCGTTGCAAACTTCTGACTGAAATTATAATACCCTGCAAGGGTATAAAAATAGAAAACAAAAGAACTCTTCCAATGCTAGTTGTGGGGACACTTCCGCGACTCTTAGGAAAGCCACCTGCGAGTCCTTTAGAAGATCAGAAAGTTATTTCGCGGGCGATCAAATTAATCTTTTAGAAGAGTCCTCGCGATAGAAATGGTTTTCTGGGTTAAAACTAGTAAGGTGTTGCACAGCTATATATGTACATACATACAAAGGTAGTCAAAAGTATTTAGACATCGACCATTTTCATAGCCAAATTTCTTTTAGTTCTTATTCTTGATGTTATTAAAATTAAATAATATTTTTTTGTGACAATCTCATAAGTTACTTTAAGGGGGTAGACCACCCTGAACGCATGAAAATTGGAGTGTTTTTCAAAAATTCATTTTGATTAAGTTATTAGGAATAAAACTTTTTATTTATTAGTACATCAAAGTACATATGTTAAACTCAAAAATACTTATTGAAAGAAAAAAAATATTTACGAACCTCGGAGATATAGCTAGTCAAAAAACGATTTTTTTTTAGGGAATGGTCGGATGGTGTACATGCTGCACACCACATTTGTTATCCGAAATTCAAAAACAAAAATTTTTATAAGCTATATAAGTACGGCTATAGCATGACGTAGCCGTTTTTGGGGAAAAAATTTTTTGAGCAAATGGGAGCACTTTGAAAAAAAAAATTTTTTTTTTTTACGAAATTTTTGTTTTAAAAATGTATAACTTTAAAACAAAAATCATATCAAAAAAATTCTTCGTCATGGTATAGAGGGCATTATAGAGAAGCTGTGTAAGAAATTTGAGGAGAATCGGTCTAGCGGTTTTGGAGAAATCATGTACACCGTTTTAAAAAAACGTAGTTTTGAGAAAAACGCAAAAGAAGATAAAGAAAGTACTCTAAGGTATACCGACAGCGCTCACTTCTAATGGCTGTAGAGTCCACGAGTAATGAGATATTTTTAAGCCCGATATCTTAAAATGACCGTATGAATATCGGCATCAAGATTAAGTAAAAAAAATTTCGATTTTTAAAAAATGTCAGGGTGGTCTACCCCTTTAATAATAGTTAAAAAAATGTGCTTATGTATTGATGAAGGCTTTCAATTGGTTGGAATTGAGTTTATTTAGCTATATCCAAAGTAATAGACATATTTTCTTTTGCTTTGAATATTGTTCTATGAACCGTTATCTTTTGTTTTCGTTTTCTGCTTGTTTCTGAATAGATCATTTTATGCAATAAAAAAATTTCATGGAAATCGGTCAACAAAAACAAGAATAACAAAAATAAGTTTGGCGGTGAAAATAATTGTGAATTTGTGTAAATATTTTTGACTACCCCTGTATATATTTTTGTATACGTTACCAGTTGTTAGCATAAGCCCCAATCGTTAGTAGAAACAATTTCTTTTTTACGACATATAAACAACATTAACACCAAAGATGCACAATCTAATGCAATAACCTTACCATTGGGGTAATCATAGAATTCCATATCTTATAAAATTAACTTGATCCAAACATTTCTAAATTGACGAACGCACAAAAATCATAAAGGGATGAAACAATTCGTAGTGACAATTAGAGCTGCAAAACAGTCGATGGCACTATCGATATATCGAATAGTTGCTTTGGCCGTTCACTATCAATGGTTCTTTTCAACCATCGATTGTTATGTCACTTACACACTCTTTTTTATTTGGCGCCACCATTAGATATAGAAACACATTTTTGACAAAATTTCATGTCCGTCAAAGTAGCGTCGAAATGGAACGGTGGGTAGTAGAACATGGGGGATCTCTAATAATTAATTTGTTTCGTAAGTAAAGCACTAATTCGAATAAAATAAAGTTTTTAAATGCTAAAAAATAAATTTACTATTGTTTTTTACTGGGTTTCAAGACATTTAACATTTGGATATATTAAAAAAGCATTTGAAAAATCGGGTTTCCACGGATATCTTAATAACTCGGCTAATCAAATGCGTGCAGCAATACTCGATATACCAAAATGAAGGACATATATTGTAGTTTTACCCTACCAAGATTCAATTTCTTCAAGCAGTTTCAGTTTTTGAGCAAATCGCATAATAGTGATCCAACATCGGGGTCGGCTCCATACAAAATAGGGCATCAAATTTTTAAGGCATATAACTTCGATTTACGAACGCGTGCACATATGCACGGTATATATGCTTACTAGGAGAAAATTAGCGAATATTTGGTGAACATTTATATTATTTTAAACCGTCAGATTTCTAGAAAATCGAATAACAGTGGGTGGTGTATTTGGGCTAGGATATAGGTAGGATAGGTATTCCTAGTGGGGGTGATGCAAATGAGCGAACCGGGAAATTCGGATGAGGATTAAGAGCCTTTCTCTTGGCCGAGGCATTGAAGGAGATTAAGAAGTAATGGGCTGAAGGTACGGAACTGAGGGAACGAACCGAGGCTATGAAGGGACGTGCTGGAAGAATTTTTGCCTCGCCAGCACGCAGCCGATTTCCAGGCCGCCTATCCCGTTGGTGCAACTGGTGGGGAGCAATATAAAATTATTTTTAGTGTTATTTATTTATTGTTAGTGTTAGTGTCGTTTACCTTGTCCTCCGCTTGGCCGTATCCTGGGTCCGGGATTTGTGCAACACAAGCGCTGTGATCGAGGGGAACGGAGCAGAAGCCAGGCCAGTTGTCTTAAATTTTTATCTCAAACACCCGAACCCTTCTAATTTCTCTTGGAGCTCCAGCAGGGATTAGGGACGAAAGGGGTAATCTTTTGGTGGCCAAATCGAGGCCAAATTATTGAGGCGCTTCTCCTCCAGGGGCCAAGATCTCGCCGGGAGTGAGGGGACGCCTAATACACATCACTTACCTGCCATTTTAAATATAAGAGCTACAATTTTGTTGAACAGCGATAAAATATAGAAATGAACATGCAGAAGAGTACTTTTTCTTGGGGGAGATGAGCCGGTCGCCTGGAATAGACTCCGGCCCGCCGGAAATGGGTGATGCCCCTTAAATGACCAGGAGGCATCACAGGATGGATGGGTGCGTCGTAGCGGAAACACCAATGCCACCAATTTGTCCCAGCAGTGTCGTCCGCCTATATTTATGTTTTTATTTACCTTTTTTGTAATTAGTGATGACAGTTTTGTTAGAGTTGAGTGATGTCAGAGACGTCCGACTAGTTCGATGTTTTATAGTGCGGACTGCGGGCATTGGGTCGAACCCATCCCTGGGCCTCATGAGCTAGCCCAGCCTTGCCCAAGGAAGGCAGTTCCGTAACAATATGGCTCCCAAATAAAAACAAATCAAAGAATAGCGGAATGGCGATGTCTCGTTAGGTCACGTCCCGGGGCATCCAGCCTCCGCAATCGGCCGCATGGCCTATATTGATGGCCTGCAATTGCACCTAGGACCGGGGACTGGCGGCCCAGGCGTAAGTATTGTTAATGTTTCCTTCTTTCTTTCCCACAAAGGACGGAAGGCTTGCTCCGCAGAAGGACTGACAATTGCTCCTGGGCACTGTTTGCAAGGGTTCTGCTGTGGCAAGGGGGTGGCATCCGGGCGTGGAAACGACGAATTTGCATACCTCGGCCCACAAATCCGTGCATGAAGCACGAGATGAAAACAATTGTGAGATAATTTAGGAGATAGGGATACATGTTGTTTATTTAATTAACGTAAAGATGTTTGTTTTCCATGTTAATGTCAATTTGTGCATATTCTTGAGTTTTCCCGGTGGATGGGTTAAAACTAGTAAGGTGTTGCACAGCTATATATGTACATACATACAAAGGTAGTCAAAAGTATTTAGACATCGACCATTTTCATAGCCAAATTTCTTTTAGTTCTTATTCTTGATGTTATTAAAATTAAATAATATTTTTTGTGACAATCTCATAAGTTACTTTAAGGGGGTAGACCACCCTGAACGCATGAAAATTGGAGTGTTTTTCAAAAATTCATTTTGATTAAGTTATTAGGAATAAAACTTTTTATTTATTAGTACATCAAAGTACATATGTTAAACTCAAAAATACTTATTGAAAGAAAAAAAATATTTACGAACCTCGGAGATATAGCTAGTCAAAAAACGATTTTTTTTAGGGAATGGTCGGATGGTGTACATGCTGCACACCACATTTGTTATCCGAAATTCAAAAACAAAAATTTTTTATAAGCTATATAAGTATGGCTATAGCATGACGTAGCCGTTTTTGGGGAAAAAATTTTTTGAGCAAATGGGAGCACTTTGAAAAAAAAAAATTTTTTTTTTTTACGAAATTTTTGTTTTAAAAATGTATAACTTTAAAACAAAAAATCATATCAAAAAAATTCTTCGTCATGGTATAGAGGGCATTATAGAGAAGCTGTGTAAGAAATTTGAGGAGAATCGGTCTAGCGGTTTTGGAGAAATCATGTACACCGTTTTAAAAAAACGTAGTTTTGAGAAAAACGCAAAAGAAGATAAAGAAAGTACTCTAAGGTATACCGACAGCGCTCACTTCTAATGGCTGTAGAGTCCACGAGTAATGAGATATTTTTAAGCCCGATATCTTAAAATGACCGTATGAATATCGGCATCAAGATTAAGTAAAAAAAATTTCGATTTTTAAAAAATGTCAGGGTGGTCTACCCCTTTAATAATAGTTAAAAAAATGTGCTTATGTATTGATGAAGGCTTTCAATTGGTTGGAATTGAGTTTATTTAGCTATATCCAAAGTAATAGACATATTTTCTTTTGCTTTGAATATTGTTCTATGAACCGTTATCTTTTGTTTTCGTTTTCTGCTTGTTTCTGAATAGATCATTTTATGCAATAAAAAAATTTCATGGAAATCGGTCAACAAAAACAAGAATAACAAAAATAAGTTTGGCGGTGAAAATAATTGTGAATTTGTGTAAATATTTTTGACTACCCCTGTATATATTTTTGTATACGTTACCAGTTGTTAGCATAAGCCCCAATCGTTAGTAGAAACAATTTCTTTTTTACGACATATAAACAACATTAACACCAAAGATGCACAATCTAATGCAATAACCTTACCATTGGGGTAATCATAGAATTCCATATCTTATAAAATTAACTTGATCCAAACATTTCTAAATTGACGAACGCACAAAAATCATAAAGGGATGAAACAATTCGTAGTGACAATTAGAGCTGCAAAACAGTCGATGGCACTATCGATATATCGAATAGTTGCTTTGGCCGTTCACTATCAATGGTTCTTTTCAACCATCGATTGTTATGTCACTTACACACTCTTTTTTATTTGGCGCCACCATTAGATATAGAAACACATTTTTGACAAAATTTCATGTCCGTCAAAGTAGCGTCGAAATGGAACGGTGGGTAGTAGAACATGGGGGATCTCTAATAATTAATTTGTTTCGTAAGTAAAGCACTAATTCGAATAAAATAAAGTTTTTAAATGCTAAAAAATAAATTTACTATTGTTTTTTACTGGGTTTCAAGACATTTAACATTTGGATATATTAAAAAAAGCATTTGAAAAATCGGGTTTCCACGGATATCTTAATAACTCGGCTAATCAAATGCGTGCAGCAATACTCGATATACCAAAATGAAGGACATATATTGTAGTTTTACCCTACCAAGATTCAATTTCTTCAAGCAGTTTCAGTTTTTGAGCAAATCGCATAATAGTGATCCAACATCGGGGTCGGCTCCATACAAAATAGGGCATCAAATTTTTAAGGCATATAACTTCGATTTACGAACGCGTGCACATATGCACGGTATATATGCTTACTAGGAGAAAATTAGCGAATATTTGGTGAACATTTATATTATTTTAAACCGTCAGATTTCTAGAAAATCGAATAACAGTGGGTGGTGTATTTGGGCTAGGATATAGGTAGGATAGGTATTCCTAGTGGGGGTGATGCAAATGAGCGAACCGGGAAATTCGGATGAGGATTAAGAGCCTTTCTCTTGGCCGAGGCATTGAAGGAGATTAAGAAGTAATGGGCTGAAGGTACGGAACTGAGGGAACGAACCGAGGCTATGAAGGGACGTGCTGGAAGAATTTTTGCCTCGCCAGCACGCAGCCGATTTCCAGGCCGCCTATCCCGTTGGTGCAACTGGTGGGGAGCAATATAAAATTATTTTTAGTGTTATTTATTTATTGTTAGTGTTAGTGTCGTTTACCTTGTCCTCCGCTTGGCCGTATCCTGGGTCCGGGATTTGTGCAACACAAGCGCTGTGATCGAGGGGGAACGGAGCAGAAGCCAGGCCAGTTGTCTTAAATTTTTATCTCAAACACCCGAACCCTTCTAATTTCTCTTGGAGCTCCAGCAGGGATTAGGGACGAAAGGGGTAATCTTTTGGTGGCCAAATCGAGGCCAAATTATTGAGGCGCTTCTCCTCCAGGGGCCAAGATCTCGCCGGGAGTGAGGGGACGCCTAATACACATCACTTACCTGCCATTTTAAATATAAGAGCTACAATTTTGTTGAACAGCGATAAAATATAGAAATGAACATGCAGAAGAGTACTTTTTCTTGGGGGAGATGAGCCGGTCGCCTGGAATAGACTCCGGCCCGCCGGAAATGGGTGATGCCCCTTAAATGACCAGGAGGCATCACAGGATGGATGGGTGCGTCGTAGCGGAAACACCAATGCCACCAATTTGTCCCAGCAGTGTCGTCCGCCTATATTTATGTTTTTATTTACCTTTTTTGTAATTAGTGATGACAGTTTTGTTAGAGTTGAGTGATGTCAGAGACGTCCGACTAGTTCGATGTTTTATAGTGCGGACTGCGGGCATTGGGTCGAACCCATCCCTGGGCCTCATGAGCTAGCCCAGCCTTGCCCAAGGAAGGCAGTTCCGTAACAATATGGCTCCCAAATAAAAACAAATCAAAGAATAGCGGAATGGCGATGTCTCGTTAGGTCACGTCCCGGGGCATCCAGCCTCCGCAATCGGCCGCATGGCCTATATTGATGGCCTGCAATTGCACCTAGGACCGGGGACTGGCGGCCCAGGCGTAAGTATTGTTAATGTTTCCTTCTTTCTTTCCCACAAAGGACGGAAGGCTTGCTCCGCAGAAGGACTGACAATTGCTCCTGGGCACTGTTTGCAAGGGTTCTGCTGTGGCAAGGGGGTGGCATCCGGGCGTGGAAACGACGAATTTGCATACCTCGGCCCACAAATCCGTGCATGAAGCACGAGATGAAAACAATTGTGAGATAATTTAGGAGATAGGGATACATGTTGTTTATTTAATTAACGTAAAGATGTTTGTTTTCCATGTTAATGTCAATTTGTGCATATTCTTGAGTTTTCCCGGTGGATGGGGCTTTCTGGTAGCATTCTGTTGGTGAAGTCGTGACCCGCAGGTCTCACTGCGCGCAGCACGACCACCGTAATCAGAGCCTCGGAGTCCCAGCCATCAAGGAAAGTCCTACGGGATACTGCTGAAGGCCTATGTCCTTAACTGGCGACTTTCAGTCCAGCTGAAAGTTAGTCCAGTTGACGAATGGCCGGATTAGGGACGACACGGGACAATTGAAGATGCAAGCATCTGGCGCGGAGTCCACCGGCGGTTGCTCGGCCAGCTCCCCTGAAAATTTAGAAAAAATAATTATTTATTGATATTGTAGAAATAATTCGTTTTCTTACCGACTTGTTATTTATTGTTATTATTTATTGCATTGCATGTTGATTTATATATTTAGCATAGAGATATTTATTTAGTGTGAATAAAGCCGTTAGCTGTTAGGAATTAAGGAAAATGGATTATGGCAGGGGATAAGGGATGTAACTATAAGCTTAGGTCGAAGGGTCATTTAGCCTAGGAGGAGGAGTTGTGGTCCGCGGATGCGGAGGATGCTGTTGGGTTCGCGCCGCCGCGGCCCTCAATGGGGTTGCAGAGGACACCCCCATCTCGGCGACAACACCAGTCACCGGAGGAGCATATCCATCCAAATGCGTTCGGGGCAGCAGCTGACCACCTGGTGTAGATGTATCCCGCTCAGAGTTCACTACATTTCCAGGATCCGCCCGTGGCTCAGGCAGCAGAAAAATACCGCAAGTCCCAAGAAGCTGGGATCCGCCAGAGCTTGCAGGACGAGATGCGGGCCGGGTTTCTGGAAATGGTGAAGTTAATGAACGAGGTGCTGAGACCCTCAACAAAGCCGCAACACGTTCCAGGAGGGAGCGCGGTTATTCAGCAGCAGCCGATGGCAGCAGGCTCTCAACAACGCTAACAGCAGCAGCCACCGTCGTTTGGACGATCTAGGGAAACGGCTGCTGGGCAAGCGACGCGGCCAACTCCACGAGTCCCACCCAGAGGGCACCGAGCCGAGAGCCAACAGCCCAAACGGTTCCACCGAGGCTGAGGAGACGCGTCGAGATGACTTCGCGGGCCGGAACTGGCGCGTGGAGGACCACTGAGCTGGCGATTTCCGTGACGTACGGATGTACGTCAACTGGGACGTGGGACACAGTTCCTATGGCACAAGGGTGGATAGGTGGAACGTCTCGTTCAGCAGTGAGGACGAGCGGAAACACATCGAGGGCTTCCTTTTCCGCTTAGAGTACCTCCGCGAAACGGATGGCTAGGCGATCCAAAAGCGGCAGGATCTCGCCCAGGGAGGAACACCGCCAAATAGAGGAGCCAGAAAGGAAGCAGAAATTAAATAAGAGATATAAAACTGATAGGCTAAGATATTTACCCGTTGAAGAGCGAATGCGACGGTATTTAGAAGTAAGAAACCGGATTTTCGAACAACACAGCGCAAGGTATCCCGATCCGTCATGAAGGCCCGGGATCGGTTTAAGAAACGCCAGGGGAAGCGAAGAGAAGTCGTTGCGGCCGTCAAGCGGGGAGACACCCACAATCCCAGACCCTTTGCCCAAATAAAGGTCTTAGGCCAGCAGCTGACTTGGCTGTTAGACACCAGATCGAATGTCAGTCTGCTCGGGCAAGGCAGAAGGCAGCTGGTGGACGCGTTGGGTGTCCCGGTGCAAAAGTATTTCTTGGTGGTGCTAACAGCTGCTGGCTCGGTCGATCATCGGTCGGATCAAGGTACCTGTAGAAAACAAAGGAAGGGTAGATAATATCCTATTTTATTTGTGCCCGTACCTGGAGCAGGCGGCATACCTCGGCATTGATTTTTGGCGGACGTTTGACCTGGCTCCGGCAGGCCATGAAGAAGGCCGAGAAAATTCACGCCAGGGAAATGGAGCACTACGCAGACCAGGAGGATAACGACGAGGAGAAAACGGACCTCAAATCCTGGACGCTATCCGGAGCTGAGTCCCGGGAGATGGAGGAAATCAAGCAGGGGTTTCTCAACTTCGAGAAGAACGGCTTGGGTACCACTGGCCTGGAAAAGTACACAATCGAGCTGGTGGAAACTGCGAAGATTTTCAAAGACCGGCCCTATCCGATGTCTCCGGCGAAGCTGAACATGGTCGAGGACGAGGTCGACAAAATGCTAGCCCTGGGATTCATCGAGGAGAGCAAGAGCCCTTGGAGCAACCGGACGACAATACTGTCGAAGCCTGGAAAGGACAGATTCTGCCTAGACGCCAAGAAACTGAACGACGTGACCGTCATGACCGTCGATGGAATCCTGTCCAAAATCGATCAAACGCACTTCATCTCCAGTGTAGATTTGAAATTCGCGTTCTGGCAGATCGAACTGGACGAGTCCTGTTCCAGTCCTGTTGCAGGCCGATTTTAAGCGGCACTTCTACATCCAGTGTGACGCATCGCACATCGGAGTTGGAACCGTTCTTTTCCAAAAGAACGAGGATAACCAGGAGCAGCCTTCTTCTTATTCTCGGCAAAGATGAACAGGTACCAGGTGAACTATACTGTCACCGAGAAAGAGTGTTTGCAGCTCAGTGAGCAAGCCCATTCAGACCCAAAGGCAGCTCACGGCGGGATGGGGAAGACAATGGAGATCCTTCGGTGGCAGTTTTACTGGCCCGGGATGGTACTGCAGGTGCGGGAATTTGTCTGAAGATGCCAGACTTTCGAATCACCGGATGATGGTCGGGATCGGCGAGCGGGTACAGACAGAGCGGCCATTCCAGAAGCTGTACATCGACTTCCCGTGGTGGACCACTTTTCCAAGTATACATTCCTGAAGACCATGAGGGAAACGACAGCCTCGAACGTTGTGGATTTCAACAAGGTCTTCTACAAGTTCGGGGTTCCAGAGATCGTACACTCGGACCATAAACAACAGTTTGCGTCGAAGATCTTCGATGAGGCCATGGAAAGCTTTGGGATCCACAGAGCAACGCAGCGGATCGGGTTAAGCATACTGGCGGCTATCCGAGGGTTCCTGGAGAACGACCTTAGGGAATGGGAACCTATCTTCCCGAGATCGAGGTGGCCCTCCGGAATGAAGTTCACTCGGCTACGGGAGAAGCGCCATTTTTCACGCTTTTCGGACACCACATCTTCCAGCATAGTTCCAGCTACCGACTAGCCAGGAAGCTGCAGTCGCTGTGCGACCACGAGATGGCCGGTATGCCGACTGCCGACAAGCTCCGAGTAGTGCAGGAGAAGGTGCGAAAGTGTTTGGAGTCCTCATACGATCGCAGTCGCCGACGTTACGACGAGACGGCCAGAGTGTTTGCTGCAAGGGTTCATTGAAGGAGATGAAGAAGTAACGGGCTGGAGGTACGGAACTGAGGGAACGAACCGAGGCCATAAAGGGAGGTGCTGGAAGAAAAAAACGGGAGTTCCAAAGATTGAGGCAAGACGTGCGCGGCGAGAAATACGGAATTGTGGACGTGAGCGCTGTTAAGTTTTGTAGATGACGTTTCCAGATAGCCGCCTTACCGTCGCCAGAGCCAGCTAAAGCTGCTTAAAATCATTATATTCAATTGGTAATCTCGCCTTAAGGGCAGATAGCAACGGAGAGAAGTTCTACCATCATATAGCTTACTCCGATCAACTCCAGAGTGCTGGCGAGACGGCAAGCACCGTGACCCCCTACATCCCCTGCGACTGCTGAGTGGGAACTTCCGGAGACACACACACTTAAAATATAATTTATACCCTGCAGTATCGCGTGTCATCAATAGCCATTGTCATCAACCGGCCGACTGCGACTTCTATAGAGTAGACGCTCTGCCGACTGCGACTTCTACCGAGTCGACGCTCTGCCGGCTGCGACTTCTATAAATTCGACGCTCTGCCGACTGCGACTTGTACGGAGCCTACGCTCTAATGTTGCCATGGTGACTGTCTCACTCACTCTTCAAACGAGCGAGATGAGCCAAAAGCAAATAAGTTAACAATTAAAATCGAACCAACTGTTTCGCACCCTAGAAATTTAGCATTTCTATTTGTATAATATATTATCATGAACAATTATAATGATAATTAGAAATAAATATTCTTTAAATATAAAACGAGAATGAAATAATAATTGCAAATCGAATAAATAGTTTGAGTTGCAATAACATTTTAAGTAACTTTTTGCCTAGTCGGATATATCCTTCATACCCTGTTTCCAATGGAAGCAGAACACTCGGACACAAGTTTGCCAAACGGGACTTTGTGAAACGAAACTAACAATAAGAGAAAAAACGGACTTGAGGATCCGTTTTTCCGGATCGTTGTTCGTTTTGTTGTTGGAGGCACGGTCCTTTTTTTTCCTTTCCGTTTTTCGTGTTTTCACTTGCAGTTAAACAGTGAGCTAAATAAGAAGTGTGCGCAGGCCAAATTTGAAAAAAAAAATTATACATATACATATAAATATTCTGTTCAGTTTTCAATAATTGAAATTATATATCAGGTGAGTTTTTATTTAAAGATTTAAAAAAGTTTACTTTCGTATCAATTCTGTCTTCTATTTTGTGTACATCTTCCCCTTCTCACACTTCGTGTCTGCATGCAGCTATTGTACTTAGAGTACAACATCGATGGTGCGAAGTGTAAGAAAAGGCTTCGAGACCATAAGAAGTTCTACTCAGCACTCCTAGGTAATTATGTATTTGTTTTAGATTTTGATTTCGATTTATTTTCCATATTTTCCTTTTTCAGATGCAATAAGTCAAGTTGATGCAACGGAGCCAGCTGCCAAACTGTTGACTAAAAGACTTCGTTGCGCAAAAAAGTTGGAGGCACAACACAAAAAAAGGAAAAGGGATGATGGCGTTTTAGAATGCGGTCCGAGCGTTTTCCAATACCTCAATACTTAATTTTTCATGTTTATTATTATTATTTGATTATTATTATTATTTTTAATTTATTTTGTATTATTATTATTAGAACTTTTTTAATTTAATTATTTTATTATTTAATGCATAATTTTAATTTTATTATGTTACTTTTTAATAGAATATGAAAAAGTGAATAAATTGAAATATGAAATTATATATTTTTTTATGAAATATAATTATGTTTTGTAATTGATTTATTGTTGATGATTCATTGATGAATTGTTGATGAATTGATGATGAATTGTTGATGAAACATCGATGAATTGATGATGAAACATCTATGTTTTATCGATGTGTCATCAACAAAACATCGATGAATTGATGATGAATTGTTGATGAAACATTGATGTTTCATCGATGTGTCATCAACAAAACATCGATGAATTGATGATGAATTGTTGATGAAACATCGATGAATTGTTGATGAAACATCGATGTTTCATCGATGTGTCATCAACG